TGACTTTCCTATTAAAAAATAATATTTTTTAAAGTAAATATCTTACACTAGTACTTAAAAAATGTATTTCAAACTTTATCTGCTGGTTCACTTTGTAAATGGCCACAATGGCTAGAGCTGGACTAGTCTGAAGCCAGGAGCCAAGAGCCTGTTCCAACTGTCCCATATGGGTACAGGTGCCTAAGCACTTGGGCCATCTATGTTCCCAGGCCCATTAGTAGGGATTCAAACTAGCTCCCGTATGGGATGCTGGTGGCATAGGTTGCAGCTTAACTTACCATGCCCTCTCACTGGACCCTGGGTTAGCTCTTTGAGTGTTTTGAAAATATGGAAATAATTTGCTTTTTGCTGTTAATTAGCACTCTGAAGATGGTATCTTTTTGAAAGTCTAAGTTCTAATTTATTTAAAAAAATCCCTCAAACTTAACAGCTTGACATCTTAGCGGCTTCTACCATAGACTTTTTTCATCACTCCTGGGGCCCCCCACTCCATCCCCAAATTAAAAACTTTACTAAAAGAAATTTTGCAACTGATTTTTTTGAGTTCTCTATTTTCCAATAAAAATCATTCACAAAAGCTGTTCATCTTCATCTGCTGGTTCATTCCCTAAATGGTCACAATGACCAGAGCTGAGTTAGTCTGAAGCGAGGATCCAGGAAATTCTTCTAGGGTAGCAGGGGTCCAAGGACTCAGGCCATCCCCTGCTACCTTCCCAAGTCATTAGCAGGGAGTTGGAGTAGAAGTGGAACAACCGGGGCTCAAACCAACGCCCATATTGGATGCCAGCAACTGTCGGCTGCTATGCCACAGCACTGGTCCCAAGAGCTTAAATAAGGCAAAAGTTAATTATACTGTATATAATTCACTAGAGTAGTTAGCAGCCTACATCATTACTGCTGTATTATATAAAATAAGTGAAAATGTCTTCTGTACACTTAGAACGTTACCAGAGAATCAGTATAGCTTAATCGGTGACAGCTGACAGAAGAACGCCCTCCTTTGCCAGTAGTTTTTGTCTTAACATTGGTGATCATACTCAGGAAGATGATTACTGAAAGCTTCAGCTCTTCACAAACTCTTCCTCTGATACTGAAATATCTTTTAAGTTTTTTAAGATGGCTAAATATTTTTAAATATTTTAAAAATCACTGTTTGCTATAGATATACGGGAAACCAAAGATCTACTTCAATAGTAAAATTCATTTCCTTCCAAGCCCTGAAGTCGTGTCTAAAAAGTTAGATATATATTTACCTTTTTACCTATTTAATAGCCATGTGGATGAATGCTTATTGGATTTGCTCACCTGTTAAATTTTCTTACTCTGGCAACTTCATATATATATATGTATATTCATTCCATAAACAACATCATGGAGAAGGGAGAGGTAAAATAACAGACATTAAATTTCAAAATCAAATATGAACTTTCAATGCTCATCAGAGGTTAAGCATTATTCCCCTTCTCGAGTGAGTTTCAACATGGGAGCAATACATGATTTAAGTGGAAATCCTATAGAAATTTTGTGAGCTCTCTGAAAGTCAAGTTTTAAGTGCTATCTTTGTTTTTGTTGAATAACTTTTCCTTCCGGGTATAGATTACATTGGTAGATGTGATTCCTTGAGTACAACGTGTAGTAGGGAGCAAATGAATAAATTGCATTTAGACCGGAAGGACTAACTCAAAACTACACAAGAGTCAATAAAGCAGAGATTACATCATTATCACCTTTCAAAACACTGGGGGGAGGAGGGGGTTGGAGAGTGGGTGGCAAGCATTTGGCTTCATGGTTAAGTCCTCAGGTTCATGTCCAGCTTTGGTTTCTGCCTGTAGCTCCTGCTGGGACAGCTCCTGGAAGTCAGCAGTGATAGTTCAAGTGATTGGATTCTTGCCACAAACACTTGGATTGAATTTCTGGCTTCTATCTTCAGTTGGATCAGCCCTTGATGTGGGCAGCTGAGGAGTGAACTGGTGGCTGGAGCTCTGTCTGTTCCTTTCAAATTAAAAAATAATAACCTTGATCACTATCCTAGAGAAATATAAGGCCTAAAATGAAGTTTTGAAGTAGCTAGAAGATCCTACAGAATTTGCACAGAAAAATTAACTGCCTTTGTGTAGTCCATAGAAATGGAGTTACTCCAGTTTTTCCCTTGGCTAGTGCTTACTATCGGATACAAGTGAAATCTTCAAACAAAATATATGTAACATAAAAATTCAGTTGACTCTGAAGAGAAAGCTGGGCTGGCTTTGTGTTGTAGTAGGCATCCCATATAAGCACTGTGTCTTTATCCTAGCTCTTCCACTTCTCTGATCCAGCTTCTTGCTAACTGTTTGCAAACAAACAGCAAAAGATGAGTCAAGTGTTTGAACTCTTGCCACCCACAGGATAGATAGAGGATGAACCTTCTGGCTTTCGCCTGGCTCAGCACTGGCTATCGTCGCCATCTAGAAAGTGAACCAGCAGGTGAAAGATCTTTGTCTCTTCTTTCTCTCTGTAACTCTTTAAAGGGCAATCAGATACAGAAGCTTTTAAACATAGATACTTTGTTGCTTCAGAGCAAAGACTGTTTCTGCTGCTCGGGCTCATCTCTCACATGCTTGCAACTGCCAGTGGGCCCATGCTGTGAGCTCCATCCAGGTGTGTCAAGTGGGTGGGGGATGTTTGGTTACCTGAAGCATCACCACTGCCTCCAGGGACCTCCATTGGGTGGGCTTCTGGAGCCAGGGTCAGGACTGGTACACTCAAATCGGATGCCAGTGCCTTAATTGCCAGGCTAAATGCCCGCGTCTGAGAACTTTTTGACAGCTCCTGCTCCAGTCCCTTTGTGAATAAAAATTTACACCAGAAGGGAAAGTGGCATTCAAGTTGTGTTAATTTCTTATCACAAAAACGTGCCTAGAATGTTGCACACAATTAAACACCTTGCATTTCTTTAAACATTAAATGGAAAATGTTTGTCACAGTGCAATAGTTTTCCATAAAATTTTTAATGCTTATGGAAGCATTCATTTCATATTCATCATAAATCTGCTTTAAAATTGATTGGCACGTACATCAATAACATTTGATTTCAGGTAACCCACTGTTAATGAATATCAATTAGAGGGTTGCTTTATACTTCAAAGGCTAAAGTCTCAATGCCTCACATGAGGCAAGTGACAAGGGCTTTATTTTCATTAATTAACCTATTGAATTTCTGAATATAGTTTTATTCACTCAAAACTGGAAGGTGAAGAGCTTGGAAACATTTAAAAGTGATATTTGTATATACGATAGCTTGGGTTTGTGTCAAGGTGTGTGGCTTTGTAAAAATATTTGAAGCTGTTTAGCTCTTTATAAACCTAAAATACATGTTAAATTGGGAATGTAAAGTCACAATAAATACAAAAGTAAAAAAGAAAAAATCCTCATTTTAACAAGGTACACACCAAGGCATGGGGAACATAAACCACAAAACCACTGGACACTGGCTGAGGTACACAATAGACCCGGGGCTGACTTACAGCTTGTACCCCAAGTTCAAGGTAAAGAACAGTTTCCGTGTTCTCAACCAAAGCCCTTACTATGCCAAAATTCATGGGCACTGGAGAGCTCATTAGGAAAACCTTTGTTTAAATTATTTCCATGTTTCAGAGTTCCCTACCTTTGGGTTTGGAAGGCAGCTGAGCGATGCAACCCGAGACATTTTTGTTTCCTCTTGAGAGGAAATGAATGGTTGGAAGAGGCACTGGCAGAAACGCTCCCAAAGCAGTAATACTTTACAGAAAGCTCTCCTGTCACAGCTTTTAACTCACACTTCATGCCCTCTAGTACTCACTTTGGTTATAGTTAACTCCCTTGTAGTCTGTTTTACAAGCCAGTTTATACAAATGACTTGAAATCAGGGTCACTGCTATTATTCTGGAACTATTGTAGAGCTTGGCATAGTATGCGGGAGCGTGCGTCCAATAAATACTCGTTTGATGAAATTACATTGTAAAGCAGAATGAAGTGACGCCAAAGAATTGCTCTGTGGGAATCGTTCGTTCTTAGAAAGCTTAAATGTGAATTATCCCTTAGCGTCTGTATGAAAATCCCATGGACAGTAAGTAGCATGTCTTCCTAGAGGTAGAGGACATGACTCTGGACAGAGGTGAGAGCAAAGTGACAGTGACATCTCTGCATTGTTGAAGAGAAAGGTCAATAAAGAGTAGAAACAGAGCACTCCCCCAACTCCCCGCTCGGCATCATTTTTCTTCCTGGAACGTTCAGCGTGCCTGCGTTCCTTCTCAGTTAAATTCTCTCAATGCACTTTTCCTGTGACCATATCCTTTTTTTGGGGGAGGGAGGAAGAGCGGAAGGTCTGAATAAACTCTTCGGATAGCAGTGTCCACTTGAGGCCTTGGGTAGGTTGGGGTCAAGGGCCCCCTCCTTGCATCAGTGGTCTACAACGTTTTGCTTGCGGTTTACAACCGCTCTTTAAAAATAATTTCCCTGTGGGACACTCCTCCTCTCGCATCCCCTCCCTCCCGCCCTCTTCCTGCCACCCCCACCCTCTGCCCCACCCCCAGCCTTAGTCGGGGAGGTCCCCCCCCCCGGCAAGCAAACACTTGGGTGTCCTGGCCAGGTCCTAAGAGTAAACACGCCCGGAGGATTACAATCGACCCAGGCCACTTTGCTGCTTTCCCTTTGCCCGCCCTCAAATGACCCTTGACAGCCACCCCTTGCTGTCCCTTCAAACGGAAAACGCAAAGCATACATACACTCACTCGAGCACACACACAACAACAACAAAAAAAACCCCTCCAAGTCTTCCTTTCGGTTGCTACCCGCAATGACGTTTCCCTCACGGGTCCCGCCCCTCCTCGGGGCTTGCAATTTTGCGATTGGCCGGGAAGTAGGGCAACAAGGCCCGGATTGGACGGCGGGGAGCTGATTGACAGCGGGGGCTGCCGCCGCGCCCGCCCTCCCTCCCCTCCCGGGTGTGTGAGAGTGTATGTGTGTGTATGTGTGTGTGTGTGCGCGCGCGCGCGGTGTTATGCCGGACGGAAGGCAGGAGGCAGCGGCGGCTCTTTTTATTGTCCCTCTCGCTGTGTGCGCCTGAGGAAGCCGAGGGTGCAGCGCGGCTGACCAAGGCCACCTTGGAGGCGGCGACCGGAGCAGCCGGCCTAAGCGGAGTGCCGGGAGGACGAGGCGCAGCCGCCGCAGCGTCCCCGCCACGTCCGGACGGCCCGCGCTCCTCAGGCGCCCTTGGGCAGCTCGCGCCCCGGGCCCCGGCCCTGCTAGCTGCGGCGCCCCGCAGACGACGGCGAGGAGGAGGCAGCAGCGCCGCCCGGCCGCCCGCCCGCCTGCTTCCCGCTTTCTTCTCTTCCTCAGCGGCCGCGCTAGGCCCGAGCGACGCGGCCACCGCGCCTCGAGTTTGACGGCGGCGGGCGGCGCGGCCTCCTCAGCGGCCTCGCTCGGACGTCCCCTCCGGGTCTCGGCGATGGGGCGCTGGGGCCGGCGCGGCTAGGAGCCCGGCGAGCGCAGCCAGCAGCCGGCGGGGAGCAGCGCAGCTCGGCGGCCCGGAGGGAGGCAGGAAGCGGCGGCCGCGGCTCGGAGGGCCTTGTGAGCCGGAGGCACCCGCCATGGCCAAGTCCGGCGGCGGCGCGGGAGCCGGAGCGGGCAACGGGGCGCTGACCTGGGTGGTGAGTGGCGGGTACCCCCCTCGGGTGGGCGTCCCCGCTGCCGCCGCCGCTGCTTTGTTCGCGGCCCGTGGTGGGGGGAGGGGAGGAAGAGGGAAGCCCTGTCCTGGAAACCTGCTTCCCCGCTACGGGCTGTTGCAGGGTAGAGACCCTCTGCGCCTTTTCTTTCTTCCTTCTCTTTGACTCTTGCGGGAACAAGCCTTGAACTTGAAACTTTGCGTGGGGGTGGGGAGGGGTGTGCGCGCATCCTAACACAACGTGTAAGCCCCGCTGGCTGCCTCTTGCCCTCGCTGCTAGTAGGGTCGTGGGGGTGGGGAAGTGGTGGGGATGGTGATAATCCTATGTATCTGTGTGTGGATCAGGGCTTTCTGCAATTGTGGGGTTAAGAAAACCCGGGAGAAAGAGGTGTGTGTGTGTGCGCGCGCGCGCGCGTGCACGCTGAAGGAGAAACCACGGCTGGTGCTGGACTCTCAAAGAATGGATTTGGATGTCTCTGGCACTTGAGTTTGGGAAATTGCAAGGATGGCGAGGGCGTTGGTGGGGATGTAGGCTTCCCAGCAGTTGACTCTGCGGTACCTGGTCCATCTGTCAGGGTGGGATTATCCGAAGAAGCGCTTGCCTACGTCAGCGCGCAGGTGAAGCGGGTGGGGCCCGAGGGGAGACAGATGCCGATGCCGCGGTCAGTCCTGGGGCTGGGGATTTCGGCACGCAGTTCCTGCTGGCCCAGGGAAGGAGCAGTGGTGGAGGAAAAACTAGAGAGACCGGATGCCCACGACAGATCGATAATTCACTGGCATTTGACTTGCTCGGCGTGGAGTTCAGACCAGGGTCATTGACTGTACACACACACACACAGACACACACACACACACACCCCTAAGCCGACTGACTTACAGTATATAACCCCTCAACTGTGGTAGCCAGGACTTTTGCAGGGCCCTCAGCTCCCCCCAATGCCCCTTTAAACATCCCAAATGACTCTCCTACTGGCATTTTCATTACCAAGTTCATTATTTTTTCCCCTCTTTAAGGGAGTTGGCCCTGGTAAATATGGTAACAGCAGGGAAGCATTTTTGCCACTTAAGTGTGACCTGGTGTACTTTGCAATTAAATTGCCAAAGCTCTGATTTTTTAAAAAAGAATTGTTCAAGACCTGTCATGTCAAAGTGTGAATTGACTTGAGCCAGCAGAGAGAATGTCAGAGAGTGGGTTAGCGGTCTGTGTGAATGTAGGGGAAGAGAAATAATACCGGCCAAAGGGATTTTTTTTTCTTCTAATCGGTGGTTCTCCCGGTGACTAAAATAAGACAGGAAGTGGTGCTAGGTAACCAGATCGTATCCTGAGCTTTCATTGGCTGTTTGAAAAAGTCTTAGGTCCTCATCTGCACCTTCTGTGAAGAACTTTGGCTCTGTAATGGTAAACAGTTTGATCTAAGATTTTTTTTTAATTGGAAAGTCAGCTGTACAGAGGGGAAAGATATAAGGATCTTCATTTGCTGGTTCACTCCCAAGTGACTGCAACGGCTGAAGCTGAGCTGATATGGAGCTAGGAGCCAGGAGCTGCTTCTGTGTGTCCCACTTGGGTGCAGGGTCCCAAGGCCTTGGGCTGTCCTTGACTGCTTTCCCAGGCCACAAGCAGGGAGCTGGACGGGAAGTGGAGTAGCTGGGGCACAAACTAGTGCCCATATGGAATCCTGGTGGATGCAAGGCTATTGTACTGGGCCCTGAACTTGATTTTAATATGTGATAATCAACCTTTTAATTTGTTAACTTTATAACTAATTGACTGCGTTTTCTTTCAAGCTCAATGGAATCTTTCATTTACGGTACAAACTTAGCAAAACTTGGAGGGTTCTATTCATTATTAGAAAAATCTGTGGGGCAGGTGCTTGGCTTAGGTGGTTAAGCTTCCACCTGTAATGCTAGCATCCTGAATGGCCTCTAGTTGAGGGTCCCTGTTGCTCCACTTCCCATCTAGCTCCTGCTAATGGCCCGGGAAAGCAGCAGAAGATGGCCCAAGTGTTAGGACCCCTTGGGTCCGCATGCGAGACTCAGCAAGCCTCCTGTCTTTGGACTGGCCCAGCTCTGCCAGCTGAGGTGTTTGTAGAATGAACTAACAGATGAAAGAGTTATTGCGCCTTTCTCTGTAACTCTGTCTTTCAAATGAAAATAAGTAACTCTTAAAAAATAAATTACAAAAAAGGCAAATCTGCTTGAAGCTAAAATTGACTGATTAAAGACTTCATGCTGTATTCCCATGTCAGTTGTAGACTAGAGAAGTAAAATGCACACTTTTTAAGATTTATTTATTTTGAGAGTTGGAGTTAGAGAGTGGGAGAGATTGAGAGAATGTTGGTTTCATCTGTTGGTTCATTCCTAAATGGCTGGCCCAGTCTGGCCCACTCCTCAATGCTGGCCTAAGTGCTTCGTTTGGATCTCCCACAGGGGTGTGGGGGCCTAGGGTCTTGAACCATCTCCGCAGCCTTTCCAGGTGCATTAGCGGGGAGCTGGATAGGAAGCAGAGCGGCTGGTTCTGGCATGGGCACTCATGTGGGATCCCCTGGTTGCAGGCAGCAGTTTAATGCGCTACACCACAATAATCTTAATCTTTTGAGAATACCGGTTATTGAGGCTTATTTTTAAAAATCACCCTGTTAAGTTCTCTTTAAGATTTGATGTTTACTTTAAATTATAGTTTACATGAGCATCTTTGTGTCCATAATACGCATCAGTGATCAGACGTTCAGTTTCTTGGGAGGCAATATAGTGAAGATAGTAAAGAAGTTTATATCAGATTAATATACATTCAGATCACGTGTCAGACCTGTATGGTTTTTGGCAAGGAACCTAACTTTTTCAAGTTTGTTTTTCCATTTGTCTAATAAAGTTGCGTTGAGATTTCAATGGGATAAGGTATAGCACAGTACCAGGCTTCTTCATTATTATTATTATTGGCAGAATTTAAGAAATACACATGCTGGAATAATATGTCACAGTTGCTTTTGTAAAAATAGTTTCCAGCTGGAGCAAAAAAAAAAATTTCCTTTGCAAGAATTCAGAAGTTTATTGCAATAGTAATCTGTTTTACAAGGGTAACTTTACATTATCAAAGCTGGTGTTATGTTGCCACCTGCTTGTGGATGACAGAAGTAAAAATGAAATAGTTCTAGATGATTTCCCTCCACCGTGCAGTGGGCAGGGAATTGCTGAATGCCATGTGTTGCCTGTTTTAGCTTTCTTTTGTAGGGGCACACACCGGCTTGTGTTAACACTGTCAGTGCACAGGAATTGACTTTTTACTATTAGGAACTACAAAGCAAAATGATTTAAGATTAATTTCCCCTTTAATAACTGATTTGGTTTGTTGGAGACTTGCAGGATCTTAAGACCATGGGTAGAAAGTCGTCTTTTAAAGCAAGTAGTTTCTTAGTTTGGAGCTAATTCTTAGTTTGGAAGTTTGGGTTAGTAGATCCTAATACTTTATTTAATTTATTAGTCTGTTATCATGTTGAAGTGATTGTAGGAATATTCTAATAGCTATTGCCTCTCTTTAGTAACACTGACTCGTTAAAGTCTGGAAAATGTTAAGCATCTAGAGTGGCAGCTGGAGTATGAGGAGACCCTTTTGTAAAGGTCGCCTGCTTCTCCCTTCTCACTGAAGAAAAGCAAATCCCAGAATTGCAGAACTTCATCTTTAACTATCTTAATATTTACTACCAGAACTTAAGTCTCGTTTTTAAAAATGGTCAACATTTCAGGAAATGATTAATTTTTGGAAACACAGAGACTGATCCGAGTGAGATGGTTCATCTATCTGCTGGATCCTTTTCCCAGTGGCTGCAACAGCCGGAGCTTGGGATTTCTGAAACTAGGAGCCAGGAGTGCCTTCCAGATCTCCCATGTAGGTGCTGCTTTCCCAGGCACATGAGCAGGGAGTTGGGTGGGAAGTGGAGCAGCCAGTACTCTAATTGGTTGGTACCCAAATGGGACACAGTGCTGGCACTAACTTTATTTTTTATAGATTTATCTATTTTTATTTGAAAGACGAATTTACAGAGAGTGGTTCACTCCCCAAATGGCTGCAACTGCTGGAGCGGAGCTTATCTAAATGGGCGCAAGGACTTCTGCCAGCCCCCACTGCTTTCCCAGTCCATAAGCAGGGAACTGGGTTGGAAGTGGAGTAGTCAGGACTAGAGCTGGCTCCTATGTGAGCTGCTTGTGCCGCAGCTGGAGCATTAGCCTGAAGAGCTGCCATGTTGGCAACACGTTTTTTAATAGTAAGATTCATTGAAATATATAGCACATGCCTGTCTGAGTTAAAATCAGTAAATACTGTTTCAACATTTATAGACGTCAGCACTCAGTATTGCAGTTCTAAACTCCTCAGGCAAGTTGTCATAAATTATGCCCCCTCCGCTGAAATTGATTTCCCATGGTCCCTGTAGTTAACCACTTCATTGTCTCCTTCACGTTATGCTTTTTGCTACTTTTTCTTCCTTTTCATCAGGAATGCCTTTCTCCTCATTTTTAGCAGTCTGAATCTTGATTCTTCAAGAGCAGCTCAATTTCACCAAACTTTCTAGTTTATGGTCATCTTGTTCCTCTTAAAACTTGTTGCTCTAGCAAATCCCGAGGTTTTTCATCTGTAGCTTTTGTTGCGTACAGTCTTATCCTAAGTTACAATCTTCTGAAGTCAGACCATTCCTTTTCCTTCTCAGTATCCCTTGTAGTGTTGACCAAATATCTGGATGCATAATTCTACTTCTGGTTAACAAATTGACTAATTGGCATACTAGCTTCCTAAAAATCGAATAGCAGTAGGACAGCAAGTTAAGTAGCAGTGTTCTCTAGGTGCAACGTCAGATTGGTGGTATTTAGAAATACTTCTGGTGCTGTGCAAGGTTTTCTGTGTGCAAAGCTGTTAGATTCTGAGGAGTGGCAGCAGTGGCCTTTTGACCAAGTATGCTTCAAAAAACTCTTTTTTTTTGCAGTTATAAATTTTAA